TCAACTGTTTTTTTTGTGTGTGCATGGCAAATTATAGACACTCGTTATTAAAACAAGAAACATCTCTCAGATTTTTTTTTTTAATCTTGGAATGTTGTATAGTATCCTGACAACTGGTTTGCTTGATTATTACAGCAACTATGAATCTTCAAGTTAATCAACTTTCCTCTCTGTGTTTATTAGGGACTTGGTTTTCTTTTAGGCATCTCTCCAGAATTTGATGGCATAGATTTTCTTTTTAAATTGAAGTATAGTTGATTTATAATAGTATATTAGTTTCAAATATACAGCACAGTAATTTAGTATGTTGTGCATTACACTCCATTATAGATTATTATAAGATAATGGGTATAAATCCCTGTGCTATAGAGTATATCCTTGTTGCTTATCTATTTTATACACAGTAGTTTATACCTCTTAATCTCGTACCCCTAATTTGTCTATCAACCCTTCTTTTTCCCCTTTGGCAATTACAAGTTTTTTTTCCCCTAAATCTGTGAGTCTGTTTCTGTTTGGCATACACATTCCTTTTTGTATTTTTTTTTTGGTTCCACATATAAGTGATATCATACAGTATTTGTCTTTGACTTATTTCACTAAGCATAATGTTCTCTAGGTCCATCCACACTGCTGCAAATGGCAGAATTTCATTCTTTTTAATGGCTGAGTGATATGCCAGTTTGTGTGTGTGTGTGTGTGTGTGTGTGTGCACGCATGCGCGCACATACACAATGGCATAGCCATTGTAAATAATATTGCCATTAACATTGGGGTGTGTGTATCTTTTCAAATTAATGTTTTCACTTTTCCCAGATATATACCAAAGGAGTGGAAATGCTGGATGACATGGTAGTTTTATTTATTTTTTTGGCTGCCCCATGAGGCACCTATACCCCCTGCATTGGAAGCACAGGGTCTTAATCACTGGATGACCAGGGACGTTCCTATTTTTAGCTTTTTTATGCACTTATCTTACTTTTGGCTTTAATATTTTCTTTACATTAAAATTTTTTAAACTCTTCTCTCAAATTAATTCAGTTAGTTATATTAACTCTTTACATTTATGTATTTTTGTGGCTATCTTAACTATGGAATGACACAATGTTTAAACATAACCCAATAAACAGACACTCAACAACTGATTACTGAACTGAATTGATTTTATGGTATTTATGAAATTCTTCTTACATAGGAGCTACTCATTGGCTGTGTTAATTTCAGAAAAAATGGTAATTAGTTAAAGATGCCAATCATTGGGAAAAAAATCAAAAACCTTTATTACATTATGATTTTTTTTCTCCACAATAGTCCATTATTATCAGAATCACCCAGATAGCAGGTAGGCAGTTACAGGTCTACTATTGGTTTTTGATACCATTTCTTATATTTAAAATGGAGGGGGATGGTTAAAAGATCTCCAAGACTGTCACTTCTCACATTGTGGGATTCTTAAATACCCTTGGCTCTTTACTTCTCTCTGCTTATGTTGACACAGCCCCAGAACATAGGGGAGGAGGTTTAAAAGCTGATATAAATCTTTCAGGCCCTTGGTTTTTAGTGTTGGTTTAAATTTCTAGACTGATGATGAATTTAAAAAGAGCTCCTGGAGAATTTGACAGAGTAAGAATGTCTTTGTGGCCCACCCAGGAAAATCTCAGGACTTTTGTGAAGCTTCATAGTCATGTGAGTATGTGGATGGGGAAATCAATGAAAAAACAAAACAAAACCTGAGTCCACATTTAGGTAATAGAACATAAAACAGCTAAATCAAATTTCAAAGCTAATTTCTCTGTTAATGGTTAGTCATATATTTTGAAAGCTTAGAAAAACTATTGACGAGAAAGGTAAGGCAAGAGAGATGGGGAGACTTCCCTGGTGGCCCAGTGGTTAAGACTCTGTGCTTCCAATGCAGGGGACACAGTTTCGATTCCTGGTCAGAGAACCAAGATCCCACCTGCTATGCAGTACAGCCCAAACAATAAATAAATTTTTTTTTTAAAAAGACCGATCTTTTAATGTAAAGAAAAATTACTCTTTCTTTTAATGCAAAGAAAATATTAAAGACAAAAGTAAGATAAGTACATACAAAAACTAAGGAGAAGAAATCATAAAAAGTGAACACTGGACAACGGGAACAGGATGTTGGCTCATGGGATGAGAGTGAAATTAAACCATTACTTCACCCAGTGCCCCAGATTTTCCTGAACCTACCAGGCATGCCCACACATATCTCTGGAAGGCAGTATTCCATGATGTTTAGGACATACACTGTACGTGGCTTCTGTCCACGTATCAGCTATGTTACCTTGGTGGTTTCCTAATTTACTCAGATTACTGTCTGTAACATGAAGATAATAACAGTACTTTGCACCTAGGGATGCTACATAGATTAAACAAGATGATATATTTATTGGGTTGGCCAACAAGTTTACTCAGGTTTTTCCGTAACATCATATGGGAAAACCCGAACAATCTTTTTAGCTGACCCAATACAATGTAGTGTCTGTCATTCATTCAGTGCATATTTATTAAACACCCACTATGCATCAAGCACTAGTCTAGACGTTTAGAATATATTCATGAACAAAACAGAAAAAGATTCCTACCCACGTGAAGCCTCCTTTATAAATAGCTAACTGTGTGCATGCATGCTCAGTAGTGAAGTCGTGTCCAACTCTGTGATCCCATGGAACCCACCAGGCTCCTCTGTCCATGCAATTTTTCGGGCAGGAAAACTGGAGTGGGTTACCATTTCCTGCTCCAAGGGAGCTTGCCAACCCAGGGATCGAACCCGTGTCTCCTATATTGCAGGCAGATTCTTTACCACTGAACCACCTGGGACAAGTCCTAAATAACTAATTAGCAGAACTAAATAATAAGGGTTAGGGCTAGGAACCAAGAGGAGGTGGCATCATGTGCAAGCTGGATGTTCTTTAATATGGGGCTGCGTGAAGACAACAAAAGTTGAAGAAAAGCCTTCTGGCAATGGCCAGGGCCTCAGCTTGGCATGTTGTCTCAGGTTCTGGCATCTGCACAGTTTGGCCAGTGTGATTTGGATATTTTCTGACCTGTTTATTCATAGTCTTAAAATTTTTATGATTTGAAGGAAAAAGAACGCATCAACAAAATAAAACGTATTGCTGCAAAATAGGAAAGTCTCTTCACTGAGAACTTCTAATCCACCATGACAAGCATATTTTTTTCCCCATTTTTCAAGGTTGTTTCTATGAAATTTAATGTAATATATTTTGTCATGGGCTTTACAGTCAAGGGCATATAACTATATACAAATTTGATAACATTACTGTCACTTTGCAGAGTGAATTAAAAAAAAAAAGAAACCCACAGATATTTTCAAAAGGGAACATATCTGGCAGAAGAGATAGAAAATGAGGTGTCTGCCAGTCAGGTGTTTATAAGTTCCAAAGCTGCAATTCAGCCACAAAACTGCTAGTACTTTATGCAGAATCCTGATCATTTCTGCTTCTGATACTTGCTTTCACAACTTCAGCATTTTGGGCAAGTTTTTTTTGTCTCCTTTGTAAGTGCCAATAAGTCAGTTTTCCTCTACATGCTATATATGAAAGAACTATTGAATTGGAGCTTGTGTTGGAAATTCTTAGTAGGAGGCAGTTCTGAGTGTATAAGAAACTAAGACAAACACAGGATTTAATACTGTTCATTCCCAATTTTGTGATTTTTATAAATCTATTCACTTTCCAGGTGGTGTAGATTTTTAGGATTATCACTATTTGGTAAAGAATACTGTGTCCTAAGCCTTCCATATGTTGGGTGGTTTCTGCCCACAGCAACTTTTCAGGTTAGTAACAACAATTCTCCTCCATCACACATACAAAACAATTACAAGAAAGTTATGAACTTTCTCAAGTTTGTAAGGGTCAGAGCCAAGTTCACAGAGAATAATTTATCAAGTAAGGCTTCCTAGGTTGCACTAGTGGTAAAGAACCTGCCTGCCAAGGCAGGAGACGTAAGAGACGTGGGTTTGACCAACCAAAGTTGAGAAGATCCCTTGGAGGAAGGCATAGCAACCCACTCCAGAATTCCTGCCTGGAGAATCCCATGGACAGAGGAGCCTGGTACGCTACAGTCTGTAGGGTCACACAAAGTCAGATGCAACTGAAGTGACTTAACACATATGCACAAGACTGAGAGTGGTATGGGTCTAGGGCATGAAGTCCACTTTAGTTAAGACAGGCTTGATAATATGAGCAGGGAAAAGAATATTCTGCAAGGGAGAGCTATTAAAATACATTTAACATTCATCACAAATTATTACATGTACATATTTACACTCAGACATACCTCCTATATTAGAGGATATAAAATTGGGAGTCTGTTTTAGCTTTTGTAATGGGAAGGTCTAAGGTGATCTTTTCTGGCCATGACTGCCCAATGCCAAGGAGGTTATACCAGCACAGATTTTGGTCTTCACTCTCTAGAGATTACTGTTCAATAAATCTTGGGTGGGGAATGACTGCATATTTTACAAACATTCCTCGGATGAAGCTGGTGTGAAGTTGCAGTTGAAAAGCAAATGCTTCAAGATATTTAATATTTGATGATAATTTAACCCGTGACCACTTCGTCAATAGTGCCTGATCTAAGAGGTTACAAAGAAAAACATCATGTTTAATTAATAGCCTTTCTACTTGTATGACTTGATAAAGACACACACATATACATACATGTGCCTTCAGTGACCAGAGCATTGGAAGAGCTCTTGTTTTTAACCACCATTTAAAACAATCGTGTAGTGAATGCATCGTAGATTACATCCGAGAAAAAAAGCGATACTTGTAGAAAACCTAGTGAGATCCAAATACAGTATGAAGTTTAGTTAATATGGTAAGCCCTGTACATGCAAACCTTCAAGTTGAGGACTTTTAAAGATGTGAAGGTGCCTGTGGATGCCAGCTATAGTGCTATATTACTGTACTTTTCAAGGTACTGTACAGCAAGATTAAAGACGTTTACTCTCTGAGTTTTTTATACATTATTTTTGTGAAAAGCATTATTAATCTATTATAGTACAGTGCAGTCCTTTATAGCTGACTGTGTTAGTTGGGTACCTAGGCTAATTTTGTTTGACAAATTGAATTTAATGAACACGCTCTCAGTATATATAGGGGGCTTTCTATAGTATTATACTGATGTTAATTTCCTAGCTTTAACTAATTACTGTGCTTATGCAAACTTCCAACCTTTGGGGAAGCTGGGTGAAGAGTGGATGGGAACTCTGTATTTTCTCTGCAACTTTGATGCCAACCTAAGATCATTCTAAAATACAAAGGAAAGTTTTCAAAACATCATCAAATCCAGATACAAAATGGAAGTGTCACTTCCGTTTTCCAGCTTACGAAGCAGATTCTAAGGTAGCCCACAGCTTTTAAGTTTCTCTCTTCCATAACTGACGCTGTAAGTGACAATGGGGAAGGCAGAGAGAAGGGAGGAAGTGAAAGGTAAGGAGGAGAAAAGAGATCAAGAGAACAGTGAGGGGAAGCAGAATCCAGGAGAACCCAGCCCAGGGAAGGTGCTGGAGGCTGCATAAAGCTTCTCTGAATCACAGAGATTACACTGATCCTTTGAGAGATTTCTCTCTGCGGACTGGTGTACACTGTACGGGATCACATGTTGAATGCTTTTGGCATTTAGCAAAAGCTAAGGGGGCAGGGCCCCGGTAGGACATGGGGAATCAAGTTCTAAAGGGTTATTGAAAAAAAGGTACTAAATGAATAAAATAGGGAGTTAACGTTGATGCAAATTGACTTGAGAAATGAAGAGGGGCTCATTACAGAGCACTGAAAAAGGAGAATTGGGCAGGAGGGAAAAATGAAGACTGTCAGGAACAAAAGAACAGAGGATTGAGACCTTTGGTGTCTATGTTCTACAGGTTGCTCCTGATCAGAGGTGAAGCATGGAATGACTGGTACAGCCAGATACCTTCTCCAAAGTCGCATATTTCATCGATGACTCCTTCTTAAGTAAAATAAACTTACGTTACTATACACAGTGTCCAAATTAAGTAGCCTGTGACCTTTGGTTTTCCCAAAGGATTCCTGCCTTGGGAAGACTTCTTTCTTCCCACCCCAGACTTTCCCCTCTGTGAGCTTCTCTTCTGATGCACCTTTCAAAATAAGCCAGCACAGGAAGGATATCGAGGTGTTTGAGCAATCCCATTTCCATCCAAACAAGTTCAGGCAGTTGAAGGCTACACGCCCAGGTTTGGGGGTGTGCATGACAATGGTGTCCCAGGATCACTCATTTGATCAAGTTGGGGCAGATAAGTACACAGGGGTACGACATGCGTTACAACATGTTGGGAGCTTATGAACCATCTAATAACCCACTGCAGGATGCAGTTGACAGCCAGGTCCCAGAACTCATAAAAGAGGACAAAGACAAAGAAATGAATGAAATATAACTCCTGTATAAAGTTGATTGCAAGAGGTTGATAAGAGGAGAGATATGTGGGGGAAAAAAAAAACTTTCACGTAAGTAGTTTGGAATGTGATTATATAAACTGGAACAAGAGTAAAACCCACAGTCTTTTGCATTTGACAGAAATGAGAGTTTAGGAGAAAGAAAAGTTAGTGTATCTTTCCTATTTATATTTCCCTACTGTTCAGGTAGCTTTTATTTGGTAGTCCTGTATTGGTTGGAAAAAAAAACATCCTGTATTTCTGTTTTCTTAAGGAAGGTAATTATGTGCCTCTCTTTTTAACTGCAAAAACTCAAAACTTTTTTCTTTTTGGTGGTTTCCACCTGGAAGGTGAATCCCAGGTCAGAGTACCTGTGTGACACATATTTGGGTTTGGGATTGGAATCAGAGGGATCTATCAAAACTGTGGTCCAGAGCCATGAGTGTGTTTATTCTTATTGTTTATTCTTATTGATCTCAAGTAAACAATAAGCTGCTGCGCTAACTTACATTTCATTTTGCACTTAGTTACTAAAATTGTTCATTCTGAGCTTTCTTCATTGAAGAGGTGGTCTGTTGGCAGTAGTTACGAGGCTGGAGTCTGAGGCTAGATGGCCTGGGATAGATTGTTAGCTCTGCCACTCAATAGTTGTGTGTGAGCTCAGTTTATAACTATTTACACTCAGGTTTCTTCTCTGCAAAATGGGGATGACAGTACTTATCTCATAGGACTGAAGGGACTAAATGAGTTCAGAGATGTAGAGTGTCTGGAACTTTCCCTGACACATAGTATACAAGGATTGGCTATTATCATCATTATCATTCATTGTGTGCTAAGTCAGTAAGTTGTGTCTGACTCTTTGCGAGAGTGGACTGAAGCCCACCAGGCTCCTCTGTCCATGGGATTCTCCAGGCAAGAATACTGGAGTGGGTTGCCATTTCCTTCTCCAGGGGAATCTTTCTGACCTGGAGATCAAACCTGAGTCTCCTGCTTGGCAGCAGATTCTTTATGTCTGCATCACCTGGGAAGCCCTATCATTCATTCATTCATTCATCTGGGAAGCCCTACAGTCACTCATTGTAGGAGGGTCAAATCCCTTACTTTTCCCACAACTTTGACATGTGGTACTTTAGAGGGGGAGTGGAGGAGCACGAGATGGACAGAGAGACTAAGCTAAATCCTCCTCTTCACACACAAAACACCCAAGGAAAACTGCAGGAGGCGAGTGTGCAGAAATGAAGGTAAGAATTTGGCTTGGTGTCTTAAAATGAAATTTCTCCAGAGCTCAACACAGTCATCAGTTTGATTCTTGGATTTCTCATCCTGTTTGTGTGTGTCCTAGATTCAGAATCATAAAGTGGGCCAGAGTTTTCAACACTTCTTAGATTACAGCTATTAAATCACTCTTTTGAATCACACACTGCTCAAAATATGGTTGTACTTAGCACATGGTCATGGTTTTTTGCCTTAAACAGCGTGCCAAAATTCATTAGACTAATCTTTCTTCTAAATGACCCTCGACATTACGATTTCTTACACAGTGAATTTCAGAGCTTGCTATTGATTTTCAAATCACTTTGAGAGGCACTGGTATCAAGTTAATGGTGGTCTTACTGCCCTCTTTTGTGTAGTTAGAGCTGGCTGTCAATCATCACCTCATGATGAGGGGTGGGGTGGAAATGAGAAGTTATCTATCTTCTCTAGACTTTGAGATTTTATAAGCTAGTAAGATAATTAAAAAAAAAAAAGGATTGATATTAAGTTGCCAAATTTATTTTTGAAGGAAAACAAACATAATTATCATCTATTGTCACCGTTCATAAAAAAGAATTCTTTAATACATTGATAATACAGTTATATATAGTATAAGTGATATTTGCATATACACACATTTTCAGAAGGAGCCTGTCAAGTGGAATATGAGAAGGAAAATGTCTATTTTTCAATAAATTTTGACATTTTTTTCTCAGTTAGAATGTAAGAGCCATTCCTACTTGTCTCCATTACCCAGAGCCATTTTTAGAATTTAAAAGGTACTTAATATTTGTTGAATAAATGAATAACTATACATGTCTGCAAACTACACAGTCATCATTTCTTTCAATTTTTCATTACAGACTATCTCTAATAAAACATCATTAGAGTCCAAACAGTACTGGAAACTTCTAATCTATTAAAATAGACTTGGGAGTTCGCCACAAAGTAAGTAGAAAAAGACTAGAGGGCGATCTAATTGTATATTTAAAAGTCCACAAAAATGATAGTAAGATTTTTGAAAAGGTTGCTAAATATTTTTATAATTAAAAAATGTAATTTAAAAAGATATTCTAGCCAGTGTACTTCAAACTGTGTTTTAGGCTATGGTTTTTCCAGTGGTCATGTATGGATGTGAGAGTCAGACTATAAAGAAAGCTGAGTGCTGAAAGATTGATGCTTTTGAACTATGATGTTGGAGAAGACTCGAGAGTCCCTTGGACTGCAAGGAGATCCAACCAGTCCATCCTAAAGGAGATCAGTCCTGGGTGTTCATTGGAAGGATTGATGCTGAAGCTGAAACTCCAATACTTTGGCCACCTCATGTGAAGAGTTGACTCATTGGAAAAAACCCTGATGCTGGGAGGGATTGGGGGCAGGAGGAGAAGGGGACGACAGAGGATGAGATGGTTGGATGGCATCACCAACTCGATGGACATGGGTCTGAGTAAATTCCAGGAATTGGTGATGGACAGGGAGGCCTGGCGTGCTGCGATTCATGGGGTCGCAAAGAGTCGGACACAACTGAGCGACTGAACTGAACTGATAAGAATCGATTCTTAATGAGTCACCATCCCCTTTAAAATATGAGATAGAGGAGCAGAGTATAGAATAGAAATATCACTGTGCATCACATAGGTGATGTTTCGTGTTATAAAAATCATTCTACTATTTCTGGAATTAAATAAATACACATGAAGATATCAATGAACACATTGTGGACTGTGGGTCTCAGTGGCAAAAAGCTTATGATCCACTTACATAAACCTCTTTGTTGCCTCTAGTCAAAGACAAAGCCATCTGCAACAGTTCTTACTTCATTGCTTTCTTGGAAAGAATGCCTCAAATCTTCCTTGAGGTAGTAATGCATAATAAATAACCAAACTAGAGTGTGACTTTGCTAGATGTTTTATGTCAATTGTTTTGATGGGATCAGTTAAAGAGTAGAATAGCAAATATTCTGGTATGTATGTGCTCAGTCATTTCTGATTCTTTGTGACCCCATGGACTGTAGGCAGCGAGGCTCCTCTGTCCATGGCATTTTCAGGCAAGAATACTGGAGTGGGTTGCCATTTCCTTCTCCAGGGGATCTTCCCAGGAGGATTTTTTGAAAGAGATGAGAAAGAGAAGATAAAAGGCACTGAAAATGTTGAACTCTACCTGAATCCTGTGCTCTTGGAAAATAATGATTAAGAGATCTCACCAGTCTTTTGTGTTCTGGCCAACAACTCACCACAAAGAACCAGTCTTTGTGCACCCTAAGATAAGACTCGTGGCAACCCTTCCTCATGATCCCCATAAGACTTGTAATCCTCTTTATCTGTCTCTGTATAACTCCAGGCCCCTTTCCTTTGCTTCAAGGTCTTCATCATTAATATTATTGCAGTATCATTTGCAATATTTTGAATAAAATAATCTCTTTAATTGTCTGGTACATCTTGTCTTGACAGTTTGGTATCATGACTTGAACACATTGGCTCTTGCATTCAAACCCTTGTTTACTCCAGACAAGTAATGAGGTCTCTTAGGAACCACAGAGCTCCATTCCTAGTCCAGGGATTCAGTGATGAGTCTAACTGGTTCTAACTGGTCCTGTAATGTCAACTCTTGTTCACTGATAGCAAATCAAGGGTTTGATTGGCATTCCTGTTGAGTATTCACTTGTTTTCTGGTGAACTTCTTTCGGTTTTGTGGCCTGACCATTTGGTGATCTCTATAAGTGGATTAATGACTTGTGGAGATCTTGTCTCTCTTGGGTGAAGATGACAGAGAGTTTGGCTTGTTACTCTTTTCTGTTTGTACTTTAAGGTCAAATCAATGAAGATTCATATCCACTGGGAAGGGAACAGCTTTTTGATAGGGACCAGTAACTTTTGTAGTTCTGTGTTTACTCTTCACCCATAGCTTAAATTTTAAAATTGAAGCTAAACTCTGTCTGCATTTCTGTGTGTCTGTAATTCAGAAAGGACTTTACCTCTCACTGTATCAGCAACGAACATTTTCCTACCTAGTAAAGTATTACCAGATTAGACTGTAAAATCTCTTGTAGGAGCTTGATTTTATTTGGCTTAGAGATAAAATATCATTTGTATAAACTGAATATTTCTAAGGTTCCCAGAAATTATGGAAATTAATACTAAATTGAGTTATTTACTCAAAACTGGATTGATATGAAGCTGAATTACTGGATATCTAAATCTAATGGGGAAAAATAGAAAAATGGGAAAAAAATAAAACAGACTATTGAAATGATGATCACTAAACATAATTTTGAGGTTATTTACATTTTCCCTTTTATTTTTATGTATTAAGCTGGCCAAAAAGTTCGTTTGGGTTTTTCCGTAAGATAGT